CAGCTGCAGAGCAAGATTTTGAAACTGAGGACGCACCATCGTCTTTTGAATCGGAGGAGTGGAAGCATTTTGGATTCCCCAAGACAGAAAATGAAAGAGGTGACAAAAACTGTATGCAAATATTGCAAGAAGACAGGGAAGTACACAAATAGCACAAACATCACGATGCAGCCTTTAACCAACACCAAGGCCAAACCCCCCTCACAGGCGGGGTCTCATTTTGTAAAATAAATCGTGGATAACATTGTATCGTGAATTGAGTAAATTGTTACATCCCTAGTGTTTACCTAAAAATTAAAAATAAAGACTTAGAGCTCTATTTTTGTGAGTACTGGTAAATGTAGGTGCTAAATAACTTCAACAGCAGCTTTACTACTTTCATTAGTGTTTCTGAACCATTAACACTGTGAGAGTTCAGTTCTGCATCAAGATGTATTTGTGAATAAGCTCGGTAAGGTCTGAATCATCTGTCACATCCTGCTGCTTCTGTCACCGGGCAGAGTTCATCAGAAGGTAGAAACAGCTGAGTCACTGCAGCCCTGCATCATGTCTGTTTCACTGCATCGTAGAAACAGAGAGACTGGCAGATAAATAAATCATCACTTCCAACTGACATGCATACATTGTTTGCTTTTAACTCCTCAGACAGAGTGCTCCCAACTGTCAAACATATTATCAGACACAGTGCCTTATAGTTAAGTAGCTGTAGTGTTGTTCCTGCAGATGTGAGTCAGGGTGGGAGGGAAACAAACGTGTCCTGCAGCAGTTTCAACGTGTACTGTAGATTTGACAACAAATTACAGAATTCATAATGCTTAATGCTACAAAGATTCAGTAAAATCAAAGAGCACAATTTTCCTTCAGTGGAAATCATCAGTGGATGCACACTGGATGTTAAAAAAAATGTTTGCTACTCAAAGTGCTAACCAAGCACAAACCTATTTTCATCTTTTGGGACGACTGTTTGGGCAGCGAGAGAGAGGCAGAAACATTTTTATTGGAGCAGGACTGTGCTGCACTGTGCTGCAGAGAGACTGCAGCATGGCTTGGGTAAAAAAAAATGAATTCATTTTTTAAAGATTTTCCGCATTTCTTTGCCTGCTTTAATGCATACTTCTGAAGCTGTCTTATAGTTAACATCGTCAGAAAAGCTTAAAAGGAAAATAATTACCATGAATCTCATGATTTAGACTTTATAATTTAAATAATGACTTAAGATAACAGAACAGGCAAAAAATGCAAATCACATGCAATACTTAATAACATAATGCTAATAAGCGTATAGAACTAGAAATCCGCTCATTAGGAGGTTGGAACTGACTACTGATTCCTCTCACAATTATGCGACACACCTTTTTTACTACATGTGCAGTTTCTTCTCTCAAATGTCAAGAGCTGCTTTAACTTAATCCCTCAACTCCACAAAGGAGGCAATAAAACCCAAGCCCAGGAGTTCCTTTTCCAGAGCTCTAACAGAGGAGCATGTAGAAATATTTCACACGAAGACCTTACAGGCTTTAGAGAAACAGTGAATTAATAATAAAACAGACAAGACTGTTGTATTATCACGTTCATAAAGATAAGGAGGGGCGGCTCAGTTGGTAAAGTCGTCGCCTCTCAACCAGAAGGTCGAGGTTTCGATCCCCACCTGAGCAACATGTCCGATGTGTCCTTGGGCAAGACACTTTACCCTGCATTGCTCCCTCTGCTTCAGTGGTGGTGTATGAATGGATTAGTGTTGCACTTACTCTCTGATGTACGTCGCTTTGGATAAAACTGTTGCTAAGCGAATTGTAGAATTGTAGTTGTAGAGAAATCCAGTCAGGAACACCTTCATGCAGACTCCAAGAGTTTTAGGTCATAAAAAAAGCCTTATGTCAAAGGAATATTCTTGGTCGACACAAACAGCGATGGATGTCTACAGCAGACAGTTTGAGTAATAATTTAACTGATTATATTTGTTTAAAAATAAAAAGCTTAGTTGGGTGTGTTTCAGTCAAACCTGTCTCAATTTTCTTTTATAGGTTTTAGTATATAAGGTGAAGAGTACAGTGTTATTCATACTGGAAACAAAGACCACACCTTTTAAAATGATAAACTTTGTCATACAATATTGTTTCCCTCTGAGAAAACCTCCATCAAGAAGTCTGAATTTTTTTGCTAGCTACATTCATTTTTTTTCCCCATTATCTATGTTTTGCTCCAGTCTCCTTTGTGAGACTTTTCACTCCACTTAATGTAGTCAAAATGGCAAAACAACATAAGGATTACATTAAACTGCCTTACACTAAAACCAATACTTTTTGTTGTATTACAGGGCGTGATGGCTGTCGGTCAAACAGCTAGTCACTTAAAGCAACAATATGTAGGAATTTGCTTTGGTAAGCTTTGGCGCCCACAAAAGGTCTCTGCATGCAACTGCACTGTCATAAGACACACAGAGTGCTGTTGTGGGTTCCCGTCATAGACATATATGTTGACAAAGAGAGTGAGAAGAGCAGGAAGAGATGTTGGGGGACGCCAAACGACCAATGTCAGCTGACAAGGTGCAAGTTGAGATGAACAGCTTGACATGAAAATCGAAAAGCAAAAAGGCAACTTTTTGACATAAGTTGGGGAGCATGATGTCGGAACCCCCTAGCTGTCAAATATTTCCCGCTCGCTGACTTCTTTATATGTCAGTGGAAAGCCCTGTATAAAGCGATCATATTGCAAAGGACTACTCAAAAAACTGATAATTCAGTAGTCAAAACTTGTCGCAAATTATATTGTTGCACTTCTCTTTGTTTTTGTTTTTTGCATTGTGCACAATTGGGCTTCTGAAAAAAATAACAATATGTAAACAGTCAGTGAAATCATGGTAACATTTTCCCATGAAGACCACAGTTTGTAGCTGTATTTTCTTACCACCCAAGGGACTCAGTTCAGTCTTCAAATAACACTCTGGGCACTTAAATGTTACATTCCCTTCCTCCCCCTTTATCATCTGCACTTCCTCTTTGCTGCAGTAAAGCTCTATCGCGGCACAGAGGCCTGCAGCTGGGCATATTGTTTGTGTTTGGATTAGAAGCTCCAGTCCCAATGGTCAAATTTTCCACGACGGTCTTGTCTTAAATCCTCCTATTCTGTGACAATCCCGGTCTCCCTCAGGATGTGGATCATGGTCAGAAAAAGATTCCCTCTAATATCTTGACACGGTCGAGCACTAAGGGAAACATCAGGGGGATTCATTTGATGCAATATTACTAACACAGCTTTAATTACTAACACAGCTTCACTCCTATTAGTTCAATAGTTGTGGTGTGAGTTGTATTACTATATGGTGGGCAGAAAGGCTTGAATATGCAGGCTGATATCAGACACCTCACAGACAGTGTGAGGGATCAGACACAGCAAGTACATCACACCTAATGATGGTGCTGTTATACGAAAATGCAAAGTAGTGTTTTTACTTTAAGTCAAAGTACACAAGGCGAAGTGTTTGAAGCTCACAGACAAGAAGACTAAAGAAAGAAATGAAAAATGTAAATACATCAAAATAGAACCCCCCCCCCCCCCACTGAGACAATACTGCCTCATATCTGTACTCTGTCAACACGCACGCACGCATGCACACGCACACCATTGTGGACTCTGCCTTGTGCCCAGATACCCTCCTCAGATTTCCACATTCAGACATCCGGCCAGGGGAAGTCATTAATGACACTCACTGCTCAGTGACTGTCTTTTTTTCCACACAGCAACAGCCAATAAACGGACCAGCTCAGGTGAACAAAGTGAAAGTTGAGGATGAGCGATGCAACAAGTTATTTATCACATTAAAGACGCCAGTCAAGCGGGCATCATCGGCGCTCTTTTCCAAATGTATGATATTCCCTGTATTTTTGGCGCCTACAGATCGTGTCTTATACACACACACACACACACACACACCCTCTTTCCTCTGTGTCTGATCGGGTAAAAATTTTTTTTATCTCAAATATATAACATGCCGTAAAAAAAGATGAAAGATTTGAGCAGTTCCAACCTTAAAAAAGTGACAGACTAAATGTTTTAGTAAAGAGTCCTTGACAAGTAGCTGTTTGATTTCCTGCCTGTTGGAAACAAGGTCTGGTGAGCTCGACGAAATATGTGAGAAACAAAGGAGGGAGGAGAGCAGGAGGAGATATTACATAAGATGAGCAGAAACAAAAGCTGCAGCAACATCAACAACAGTCTGCTATATTATAATAAACACAGCAGCCTACTTCCAAAGTCAATAACACCTCCAGGTTTATCTTAATTAGACTGTACGCACTTTGTTTATGTTCCAGCTGCAGTGTCATAGGTATGGTGTATCCCATTGATCATTCATATATACATATATAAAATACTAAATACAGTACATATAGGTCTCAGATTTCAGATTGTTGCTTAAAGAATCGATAGCCATTAGTGATAGGTCTCAACCATCTTTGAGTGTCTGTTATCATGTTCTCAGATGACCAGAGGTGACTGGACTAATCTAAAGTTTAAATGAAGTGACACTTTCCCTATTTTAATTTAAACGAGAATGGATAAGAGTGTGTTTAAAAAAAAACTTGAAATTGAATCAAAAAAAAAAAAGGAGAAGGATGGTGGAGCATCTACTTATGTTAGCAACACCTTAAAAGGTTGAATGAAAAAAAGAGTTAAAACAAGGAGAAAGGTTGGGAAATGTGCCCTTATATGCAAACACTTGTAGTTCGGACAAGCTAGCATAGAAACCCGGCCTGATGTCGCACAACAGGAAAACAGTGTATGATAGAGCAGAAGCTTATTAATGAAACATCATTTCTCTTTTGATTCATCAGCAGATTACTTCCTCAGTTAACAGGACTAATCTGCTAAACATACACAGTCTCCCAAAGCAAGCCTTTGATAGTTCTGGATAGATAAGTGACTGAAAAGGAGATGCTCCATCGCTGCTCTTTAAAGACACAAGTGTTTTGTTTCCATTGTTAGCCTTGAGTTTGTGTTACCTAAAGCAGACGGTGTGCCAGTCCGTGCTGAGGGCCTGCAGATACTGCTCATCATAGATCCTCTGTTTGCATCCTGCACAGATGGGCAAACCTCCTCCAGCTGAAACAACAAAACACACAGTCAAAGACGAACTGATATGTGACATTTTTACATTTTAACAACGCACACACACACACACCTACTAACAGGCAGTTTTAATGAGAGAATCACTTCGCAGGGATGTCTCTTTGTGCACTATTTTACAGACAGTCTTCAGTTTTTGGCATGAAAACCAAATCTTTCTTTATAACATTGGAAACATCTATTTTTGTGTTCAGTTTTAGAATATTAATACTTTGTTTGCTTATCTCTAAAAAAAAAAATCTATTTCTTTTCAAGTTGGAGTTAAATCATAATAATGAAACAAACTTTCAGAAAATATATCCAGAATTTCCTGTGTGTTTCCTGTTCCTGAATTTCTCAGACTTTATAAACACTAATTCTAAGATGAACCAAAGCCAGAGCAGGGTTTTTTTGTGAGTGCGTTTGTGTGTGTGTGTGTGTGTGTGTTTGTTTTTGTGTGTCTGCTGTTGTTAAACAGTTCTTTGGCAAGGATGAAGTGGCAGCAGAAGTGACCAGACTTCAGGCTACTTACAGCACATTTTATTGTCACTGCAGCTCATTTGCCTGAAAACACATCATACCAGCCAGGAGATAATAAAGTATAAATACACTGAGACTGAGAAGCAAAGCAACAATAAATAAAAACATGACTTCCAGGTAAATATGGTGGCACTAAAAGTGTTTGCAAATGTGCGTCTGGTGTTAGCAGGACTTTATCTGCAAGATGATTTTAGTGCTCCTCCATTATTCCTCATTAGCTTCACAGCTGAGCTGTGTACTTTTACTTTTGTACTACACACATTGGCTGACATGCTAAACTCCACAATGATCCTTCAAACACCACTTCCACAAATAAGAATGTATGCAGTAAGTGCACGTGGTTATCTTTCATCATGACAGTCGTTGGTATTTCAGTAGATCTTTTAGAATCATACAGTAGTATGTTATAATGACAAAACTTAATCCACAACAACAATGGGATCAGCATTCTTGGCTGAAATTATCATGCTTACTACATCTGAAAAGTAAAATATACTCAAAGTATATCACTGATAAACTATTAAATTGCATTGTCTGCAATATACGGACTAAAACAGACAACTCAAAGTCATCCCCGTGTGTCAGCCACATGGACACCATCACAGCTGAAGACAAGACAGAGTTCAAAGACACCTCTGATTCTTGAAACACAACACCTCGACCAGTGCTGTATCATAAGAGATGTGATGGCAGAGTTTCTGTGTGGTTGGCTCATTACAGTAATGCCCCACTAGATGGTAGTTTAATTGATCCCATACTGGCTCATTGGCTGGTCTGTGCTTATATGCCCTCTGACTCCTCTCCTATCACCCCACTTTTTTATTAGGTCGTTTTCAATCACCTCTCATTTTGTGTCCTCTGTAGTGTCCTACTGTCTGCAAATAGCTAAAAAGACACATATTCTTCTTCAAAAAAGTAAACATTAAACACTGTGTAACCTGAGCAGGTATTTAGGTCATGAAGCCCCGCCCCTCTAGACACACAGAAACTTGCAGCATTTCCTCCTGCAGATGAACTAAACTTTCTTCGATGCAAAGTGAGCACATAGAGGACTATTATGAAGTTCGGTTAAGCTGAATGACAGCTACAATGTTCTCCGTCACTGACCAGCCGCAGGGGTTTTCACACAGAACATGGTCAATTTAACACAGTAATATATAGTACATTATAACAAAGAGGGTTTTAGGGCAAATGTTATCTGACCATTTCAACCAAAACTGTTTCCCCCTTTGTATTAAAGCCCAAAATAATAATTCACTTTATTATGTAAATTACTATGTAATTTCAATGATTATAGAGACACACAAAATGTGTTTTTCGTTATGTTATGTTATCACTTTTGTTGATATTTGTAGAACACATGATAGTTCGTATACTCTGTTACATGTTCCAACCCGAATTTCCCTCAAGGGATTAATAAAGGATATCAAAAAAAAAAAAATCCAACAAATAAAAATCAACAACACTGATTCAGCAATAGATTGGCAATATTCGACATTTTAATTGTGCATCTTATTTAACCGAACAGCCTACATTGTTTATGTTTATTCAAGAAGGCCTACAACTTTGTGACCCTATAGGGCAAGCAGTGAAACTCATTTTGTATAAATGATCCTTTAGACTTCTCATTTCGTTTTAAGCGTGCGACGATTTGTTTGTATGGGAAATATTTGGCGAGCCCCTTGCAAATGAACCCTGTGTATGCTCTTAAGGATGGGTAGCCTCCTGTATTCAAACATTGCAGGGTGTATCTATTTGGAGAGGAAACATGGCTACATGCATCCTCACGCCCCCTGCATACACACTAATGCAACATAAATGCATGTCAATGAAGACGCCGAGAGAAGAAAACGAACTCACCAAGGTTAGTGTTTACAGCTTGCTCTAGAGCTTCATCTGTGTTTTGAGCAGCAGAGGACGCGGTGCTGTATCCGCATCTCCCTCCCCTCGCCCGCATGCAGCCCGCGGCTCTGTCCCCTCTTAGCAGACCCTTACCTTCCTCCTCTCCCATGCGTTCGTCCTTCCAGCTGCAGCACAGCAGCATCAACCTCATTCACTCTCCGATACCGAGCTCCAGGAAAGAGCCAGCCGCCTATGGTGGGCAGATTACCGGTGTGCGACCACCAGCGCAACCCGACCGGCGGTCGTGTGTCTGTGCGTCAAGTCGCTCCCTGCGGCGGCACACAGAACTTCCTCCTCCTCCTCCTCCTCCTGCTGCACGTTTCTGCGGCGCTTCATTCAACTGAGCAGCTGACCAATGAAGTTCCGGAGCCGGGGAGAGGAAGACCCGGAGCGGCCAACCAGGAACATCTTCCAGTTGATGAATGCTTTCATGAGGGCGGGGAGGAGGAGACATGAGGAAGAGACAGTGCAGTAAAATCCTCTGTGGATTTGGTGTTACAAGATAGTCTAACTATCAAACCCTTCATTTGATTACAATTAATGACATATGTATTATGTTGTTTCATTTGTAAAACGTGTGAGAGTTAATGTTAGCTGAGCATGACTAGCAACTAGTATTTTGTGTGAATGACTTATGACAAAACTTGATAATAACTCATGGACAAATCATTTTCAAATATTGTATTTTCAAGCAAAAGAAAACACACATTGGTAGAGGAGGAGGGGTGTTTAGGTTGTTGAGATGAAGTATGTTATTTAAATGGCTGTTTAAGTATTTACTTAATGCAAATGTATGTTGATGTGCTTTTAGACTTACTGCAGATCTTATGTGCTGTTTGTAGAACAGGAAATACTCTCCTGAGAGTAAATTGATTTCCAACCCTTTTTGGTAGGAGCCAACTCTATAAGAGGAGGCTTGAGGGCCTGGCAGGAGTTGGAGGTGCACAGTGTTGGGAGAGTTTGATGACAGTAATCAAAGAGTGTACAGAGCTTCAAGGGCCCAGACCCTCTTCGCTTTTTGCATTTTGTTATTTTTTCTTGCAAGTATTATTTTTCATTTGTACATTTTTCTTCAGGCCTGCGCTGTACATATTGCTGCACTTGATTCCACTGTAAATACATTCACTTGGACTTAAGTGAGTTGTAACTGAGACATCTGGGTTTCTTCCATTGTGGTTGATTTCTCTGGTGTTGGTGGTGGTCTATCAGAGGCAGGTGTTTCACCTTACCCCCCAACAGACAAGAAGCTGAGACCCTAATCAGTCCAAGCCTAAACCAACCTGGTATTACTGTGGTCAGAAGACCACATTAGGCCTGAGGAAAAGCTATGCAAGTTTTCTTTTGTGACGTACCCAGGCCAGATTCTAGGTTTAACCAGTCTGAGGAAAAGCAACAGTTTGCCCCAGCCGGTTTTACTGCCCTGTTTTGCAAAGTGAGGTCCAGAACTATTGCCAATCCTGTATGGAGTGTCAGGCTTCAGTTGATAAAGGGGTTCGCAAGTTTCCACTGCAGCCATTGCCAGTTATGGATGTTCCCTATAGCTGTATTGTTATGGACCTTGTTGGTCTTTTGGTAACAACAACAAGAAACAAATACATTCTATGATCTGTGACTATGCCACCAGGTATCCAGAGGTTTATCTTCTCAGGGACATATCTGCTAGACAGATCGCCTATGCTCTGCAACAGCTAATTTCTAGGATGGGCATTCCATCAGAAATTTTGACATATCAAGGCAGCAATATTTTGACTAACACTCTTTAGCAGGTATACAGGTTGCAAGGGATTAGAAGTATTCGGACCACCCCCTCCCATCTGCAGACCGATGACCTGGTGATAACAGAACCTTGAAGAACATGCTTAAAAGGTGTATTTCACCAAATGGCAAAGACTGGGATAAGTGGCTACCATATCTTATGTTTGCTTACCATGAAGAGCCACAGGCCAGCTACTGTATTTTCTCCATCTGAGCTACTTTTTGGCCAGCAGGTCAGGGGCCCACTTGATATAAGAGGGTCCTGGGAGAGTCCCAAGGGGGGGCCAGACAGTGTCCTTCCCTTAGTGTTACAGATGAAAGGAGATAATGTTGTCTGCAGTTTTGCATATTTTTTAGGGATAAAATCAAATTCTTCTCACAACTCAATCAGCAGCGATTGTTCAGCCGTTGAAAAAACAGCGCTCTGACTTTTCCCTATCTGAGACTCATTTGATCGTCTTTTCCTTCATCCATTCATTTGGGCTTCTTAAAAACCTCGGGTGCATGCACAAAGTGAGTCTATGCAAGCATGTCAGCCTTGATAAAATAAGGCTGGATTGCGTTGATGGAACAACTTGGGGTTTAATTAGTTTCAGCCTGAATTGTTCAGGTGAGCCTGGCTTTCTTTAGGTACGTTGATGGAATACCCTCCAGGTGGTTTCGATTAACTCACAGTACGACCTTCATGCTGTGCTAGTGAGGAATGAACTTCATAAGAAAAACAGAGAGGAAAGCACACTGACTTTAAACACATTTTATTTTGTTATTTAAAGAAGCAAATAAAATGTCGGGATATTCGGGAATAAGTCAAGTGTGTCATGGAAATATAAAAAGTGCAAAACCACACCGTTCCTCCTTCTAAAAACAGTTTTTAAATAAAGATGAAGAGTATCCCACGGCACATACGACGAGCAAGGCTCAAAGACAGTTCTAACACAGCACCAAGTGAAGGAACTGAGGCCAGCTAACATCACAATTAGTACAAAATACAGTACACAATTACAGAAAAAGTTTGCAACAGCGCTCATGAACCTTTGGTCAATACGCCTTTTTTAAAAGCAGCTCAAGTCAATGAACTGTGGGAGCTTATGTCTCACATAAAGACACCCATTACACAAAGTGTTGTCCTTTATTACAAATCTAAACAATGAATAAATGCAGGAGCAAAGGTCGCTTTTTTTATGGCCAAACATTCCTGATAACAATAGCTATGAGTCAAAGCTGTTGCAAGATGTTACATAAGTTATGTACATGTAAATAACTACTGCTGCAAAAAAGACTAAACAATACAAGCAGACTAAAGACCTTGATACTGGACATTAGGACAATGACACACAATTAAACATTGATACAAACATAATATAAATGCCAGAGCTGTATCTAAATTAACTTCCAATTTATGCGGAATTAAATGGCAACACTGCTTTCCCCTTGGTTTTTAAACATCCTGTAATGAATGAAACCCTTTTTGATTGTCTTCAGCTCAGAGCACAAACTGCTCTTCATACATCACAAGTTTTCCAACACTAAAAACACTGAGAAAGACCGAACTCTATAGCAACGAGAATCAGCAAAGTTTCTGAGAGCAGATGGGTTGGCCTGAGCCTGATTCCTGCTGCTTCATTCCCAGCATGTCTATAAATAGCAGCAGAGAAGACAGGGAGCCAGAAACGATGCTGAGAGTGGCCACATATCATCAAATTATCGACCAGCCTCGCCCAACCCTACCCCCCCTCTGACACAGCGAGGTGAGACAGCGTGGGCTGTGACACTGACGACAGGTTACAGTGCTTTAGGGTGGTCATTCATAGGTCACACTTGCAGCCAATAGTTCAGACAGTCTTAAGCACAACAGTACAATTAAACACACTTACACATTAATGCACAAAAAACAAAGTGACACAAACACTCTTTGTATTGTAACTAGACTGGTGCACATAAAGCTTAATGTTTTAAGGCACTATCAATAACATACATCACATCAGAACAAGTACAAAATTCTGGGTCGGTGGGTTTTGTATAAAAACAGACTTTAAAGTCAAGTTTGAAAAACAAAACATCTTTACATGATTTCTAATGGGGTTTGTTTGCATATAAAATGTACATTCTCGATCATGCAGTAGCACCATGGTTTCTTGGGGTCACACTGGATCTCAAGAGTTCCTCTACTTCCTCCTCCCACAGTATTTGCCCTGGCATCCTGCAACTCCACCTGCAGCACAGACCGGCAGGGTAACAGTTCAGTTTTTTTTACATGGCAGAGAAGTTCAGAAACTGTTTAAAGCTGTCAAAGGTTTATGAAGCTTGTAAAATGGTCACTTGTGTTTGTCTTACCTCTGTAGCCTCCTCCTCCTCCTCCTCCTCCTGCACCACCAAAGAAGCCCTGCAGGGGACCGTACTTGGCCGCTTTGGCTGCAACGCAACAAAAAAATAATAATATAAGCAATTATTTTGACAAAAAGAATCTTCTCATGAACAGAACTTCACTTCAAAAAGTATTTTTGACGAGGAGGTGTATGATATTCAACTACATCATCATATCGCACCATCGGCCTGTATGAGAAGCAGCTATACAGAGACCTTAAATGTCCACTCTAACACAAGAAAAAAACAAGTGCTGTACATGAAATGATTGTATTGATGGAGGCGGCAGGAACAGAGCAATTCACAAGATTGATGTGGATGGTCAAAACTATTAACCGGGTCAGGTATGTTTACAATAGATATGGTAACGGATACACCAAACAAGAAATTATATCAGGCTTCTTATTACTACTACAATAAGTCAGTGACAAAAAACAGTGACATGATGTCTAACATAGTGTAAGAAGAGCAACAGCACATTTTATCCCTGTGACATTTAAACTTACATGGATTAATTCCCCAGTTTTCAACATAAAAAATTGACTGCTAAAAACGCATAAACACTGGCTGAACTGTCCTGCTCACAACTAAAGCAGACTGTATGTTGATTTATGTAATGGTATTTATCTTTAATTCCAGCTATAATTCGAGATATTCTCAATACCTCAGCACACATTGTGAGAGTTTAATCCTGTAAAAATGTAGCTCTCTAAGAAACCACACATGCTTTCCTTGAAAGAATCCATCCAGCAATAATCTCCAATATTCAGGAGAAATTCTGATTATTGTTCATACTAGTTGCACCCTGCCATCTGCACCAACAAGCACACAGAGTAGCAACCTGCCACGCACAGTTCAACATCTCGTGTAAATAATCGGACATATTTATTATCCTTCTGCCAACATGCAGAGACACATATTTGAAAAGAGGTTTTGGTGCAGATTATAATCTGGGAGAGGAACAACTAAGCATCACATTGAAGTAGTTTCATGGAGGGTTCATGGAGAGGTGGGAGAAGTTGGGTGTTCTGTACCTTGTTGAGGAGTCAGTGGGGCTGGCACGTATCCGCCTACACAGCATTGAAAACAAAAGGAGAGAAGATATTACGCTCTTCGAATAATGCTCAGGTGAAAACACTTTAAAATCTCTCTTACTGGATGAAATCGGTGTGATTCCTGACCAGAATGATAAATAAATGTTTACGAGAGAGTAGATCACGAGAGGTACTGTGCTCTTATTCAGAGCTGCATGATCAGATACTATCATTGTTTTCATGATATAAGACTTAAACACACAATATATGTTTTTTTTTATCCATATAAGCATAAACTGTGCTCTGACAGACAGCAAAGCCTATTTTCCTTTAGAAGTATTTTCAAATAGAAACATTTATTACATTACAGAATGTCTAACTAATTTGCTTCACTGTCTGTAGTGATCCAGTTAATCTCTCTGTAATTGGGGATGCAGAGAACAATTGCAGTTTGTCATAATTCAAACACAAATGAACTCCCGTGTAAGCTCACAAGTGAAGTTTGGAAAATTAGATATTCAATTATTAGACATTAAAGTTGAAAAAGCCTCTCATCAAACTGTGCTCGAAAGACATTAAGCATCAACTTTCACAACACTTATGACAAGTGTCATTCTGCAGCAGGTGTTCACAACACTTGTGACAAGTGTCATTCTGCAGCAGGTGTTCTCCCTCTTTCTTTATGTGCTTAGCTCAAAAGAGAAAGCAACAGATCATCTGTCCTGTCCTTTAACTCTTTCAGCAGTGTTACATGTATGTATGCAACTGTGCACTAATCTACATCCTGGTCCAGAAACAGGGAAGACAATGTAAATAATTGTGGCACATTTATTTTGTTAAAAACAGAGTTTTTTACTTTGTATTTTTCCCCTCTAAATGTGCACACTCATATTCACAAACACAATGTACTTCTGTTGTTTTATTATGCCCTCACTTGCTTAAGATTCAGTCATTTTTTTCATCTGAGTTTTGATACAGTCAATGCTTCTTAAAGGTCACTGCAGAAAGCTGTTGTTCACCACCAACACATGGTTAATAATTGTCAAAATCATCCATCCCAGAAAAAATAGCAGATAAAATCTGGCAAAATCCTCATGGTGATTTTTTAATCTTTTTTTTTGTTGTTGTACAGAAATGCACATGAAGCAGTACCCGACCTTGGTAGTACTGTTGGGGGTAACCTCCTCCATAACCAGGTACCGCTGAACCCACACCTGTAAAATTATAAAGCAGTTGCCATGGAGACACACCAAATATTTGAAGCAGAAAACAATTGCATAGTAAGATGACAATATTTGTGAGAAAAAGAATATTGTGTTACATACAGTATGTACAGTGAGTCTGATTGTTTGACCCAATTTCCAAGAAGCCAAAAAATGATTCTGTTGTTAATCTGAACTCTCAACTGAGCAGATTTATTGGACCATCTGTGAAAGCATTTCACACAGACAATAATAAATCTTTGTTCACTGGGAGAGGGATCAGGGCCGCGAGTTTTACTGACTCGTCTGTGTGGTATCTGAGAGGCAGAGAGAGGAGGCTGCACTGCCGGCTGTTACTGTGTGATTATACTCATCCCTCACTGAGGAAGTGCAGGGGGAGGACAGGCGTGATCAGAAACTTCACTGCACAAAGTGTACACTGGTGTTATGGATGGGTGATGTGAAGGGTCAATTGCAAGGAGGACACAGGGAGCAGAAAATGTTGAAAAAACATGCGCTGGTTTTTACCTGGCTGAAATCCACCGCCACCTCCAAGATTACCATAACCTGTTCCGATGAAAATCAAACAAATCACAGTTAAGCATGTATTCTTATGATGTTTTATTCATTCATTTGATCTGTACTATAGCTGTTGTCATTTTTGCCCGTGGTAAGACATGGAATATAGCATAGTTTCGTAATTTCAGGGTAGGACTCTCCAGGGCTGTGTCTTATCTTTAAACGGTCCCTCTCTGATGTTGTACACAGTTTTAAAAACAGAAATCTGTCGTCATCTGGGAAATGCTGTGTTGTTGTCTTGCTCCATTTACAAACTCCTAACGGTCTTGTTACACTACAGGGATTACTGCCTCTGGGTAAACTAGAAGTTGTGAAATTTGTATAGCTATATAAATAACATGGCAGACTACTGCTTAACTTAGATTACACACATGCTCTGCTGTTCACTACTCAGATACTCAGTATTAAAAACATGTATACAGTGAATTTCATTAAACCCAAACACTATTACGGGTTCTTTGTTATACACAGTTACTGTTATTAGAAGAGCTTGTCATGAAGACAAAATGTCATTTCTCAGCACATGTACTTTGTGTGGCCTGTTACACTACCTGGTTTTGGTGGTTTGGCTCCACCACCTGCACCTCCCAGTCCAACATTTGAGGGATACGCCAAACCGCCTGTCAAAGGAGACGGACAACTGGCTTAGATATGGTTATTAAAACCTTCAGTTGTTTCACTGCTGGATACCTGTCCTGTATAGGATTGTAGACTGTAAAAACTGCCTCGATTAAACCATCAGTTGATTTCCTTCATCAAAGTTTCAGACTGGATTCTCATTCCTGACTTAATGCCCCACACAGAAACTTATCAGCATGCTGACCAACTTCCTTGACAGGAAGTGGCAAAGCGATGGCATCTCTGACCAACTGTCACTTTGAGCACTGGGCAGAACATTATGGGGGATTTTTTTTTTTTTTTTTGGGTCAGGGAACATTGTGTATAGGGGCTGTCGGCCTCCTCTCCTCATACATACCCTGCCCATAACCATGAAGATATGGATAGTATCCCCCTGAATCATGATGACAGAGAAAAGTGGCATTAACATCTAGCAGGACAACTTACCTACTACAGTTTGTGTTGGGGGCGGCTTGTCCAAGACATGACTTGTATTTTTATCTTGAACGTGGAATTTGTAAAGCAGTAGTCCAGTTTTGTCAAGTTTCTATATGCAGACACTTTTGAGTTATTAAATGTAATGTGTTTGTGTTCTGACCTTGATAACCTCCTGCCGCCAGTGGGATTCCTACACCTCCTCCTCCTGCTCCAGGCACTGTGAAAAAAAAGAGGTCAATGATGTATATATATATATATATATATATATATATATATATATATGTAAAAACAACCCAAAAAACATACAAATGTATGGGCTTTCATGATTACACACAAACCAACACTTACCAGGTGGTTTCAAAGGTTTAGCTGCAGGTAGAGCTCCAGTACCAGTACCGGTTCCAACACCATAAGGGACTTAAGCATCAAAAGAATACAAGCAAACAAGTCATGCTTTGTAAGTTTTACCCCTTCGTGTCTCCAGTATGTGATAAATGTAAACACAGTATGGTACATCGATGCATTTCTTTGAGGACTTTAATTTATCAGTTCTTGTTAAGAATGTTTTATCTCTCATGTTTATCAGAGGACTCTGTCCCCTGACACACACAGACAGAGGACTCCTCAGTGCTTCACTTACACATTCAAGCTGTTCTAATGATGGACACAGTATTAGCAAAAAACTGATTCTCAAAGATGGGAAGACATCAACTCCATTTACTTCAGAAACTGGTTGCCTGAACTGACTTTGTTTATCAAAATGCAAAAATGGCAGTGTAACAATTTAAAATGTCAACATAAATAAGAATATTCCTGGGGTACCATTTAGAAACACTTTGAATCAAACTTTGAAATTTGAAACAGCATGTTTATTTTTATGTTGAGTTCTTTATTTTCTCTTTCATTTTTTCTGTATTGTCCATGCATATATTACATTAGAAACAGCTGACATTAAACAATTACTTATATACAGAAGAAGAATACGAGCAATCAATTCAATTCAAACCAACTGTAATAATATTAATAATACATGTAAGGAACTCACGTCCATAAGGTCCAACATAAGGATATCCAGCTCCGCCTGGACCAACACCCACTCCAGTACCTGATAAGTAGAAAGCTGAGGCTGACTAATCATATATTTAAGAAGAAGAATATTAAAGATTCCCCTTTACAGTTAACATAACCAGCTATCATTATATCTGCATTACTGTATTTAATATATCCAATCATCAAACTTAGAGTTTACCTGTTTGCTCATTTCATTCAAACCTTAAAAAGGGCATTTAAAAAAAAACAACACTTCCCTTCTGCCTTGAGTAACATGAAGGGTTAATTCAATTCAATTCAATTTATTTTTGTATAGCGTATAATTAAATCCATGATAAAAATACATTATAATAAATTGATATTTTCCTGTATTTTAACAATGCATAATGGTTTTTTTTTTACCACATATCATGAGGTTGGCTGTTTCATATTGATGCTCTTTTAGCTTAAACAATTCCCTTTAAGGAACACAAAGGTTTTTCCTGATAACTGACTGATTGATTTAAATTTAATGATATGCATTTCAAATTGGACCTTGGACTTGCTTTAATGTCCATCACATGTAAAAAAGTGCAGATCAACAAAACAAGCCTAAAACTGCAAATCTGCAAGATCACTAAAACTGATGACTGTTCAGTTTATCGGAGGTATAATTGGGTAGAAAAATGCCTGAGGCAGCGTTTCCCTGCATAGAAACATCCGGTTTCATTGATTTAATTTTGATTGATTAACTGTCTAGACAGAATGTGCTCCATAAGATAATCACAGCCTTGTGTGTGCGAAAGGGTGATCAATAACATCGTACGGAAATCATAAAAAGTTCATTGATATCATCATTTAAATGATTTTCTTGTGGTCTGTGTGTGATGTGTGTGCATGTGTGAAATTTACAGACTTTTAACTTAACAATACAATACCAGTATACTTTTATGTACTCTAATTCCTAAATATTATGTTTATATTTGATTCATTTGAGAAGAAAAGACACAGGGTCTCAGTTTTAAATTCCAATTCTGACAACATGAGACAATTCATGAAAAAGAAAAGTTAAATGACGCATTTTGTTGACAGATTATTTATAACCTCAATCTGTTTCTGCTGCAAAGTTAGGAATTTTCTGTTTGGAAATTGAATGATCATGCTTCACGGGTCATACATATCTTTTCATTGACAGATCCAGAATTTAGATAAAAAGTATCTAAAAAATACTTTTGCTTTATTTATTTAAAAATGATTTTCTTACCTGGTATGAAGGGTTTAGGTGCTTTGCCACCTGTTCCAACACCAAAAGCTGAAATCAGCAACATCATATTATTGAAGTTAAAGACGTCCTCTGATACAGTCAACTGTTGTATTTGTCTCTGTCTCCACCATGTGGCGAGATCCCTCCATGTTTCAAACAGAAAGACTTAATTCAGTTTGAGTATGATCAGCGACCTACCTCCAGGTCGTTGGACTCCTGGTGCAACTTAAGGAAAGAAGAGATGAATACATGAATTATTTGACACTCTATTTATGAAATGTGTTAATACAAAAGATCAAGGACATACTAACAATAAAAATAAAAACAACCACACAAAACAACACAGAAACACCGTCTCTTTGTGGGTCGATGAGGTTTCAGTGAACTTCCTTTTTTTGGGGGGGGGCTTTTTGTGCCTTTAATGGAGAGATAGGACAGTGGCTAGAGTTGGAAATCAGGGAGAGAGAGAGTGGGGAGTGACTTGCGGGAAAGGAGCCACAGGAGCTCTGTGAATTTCCTCTTATGTTTGCTACACAGTGTTGAACTATCCTATATTTAAGAGAATAAACTCATTATTTTACGGTATGAAATTCCTGAATCAATTTAAATAAGGATGTGTTTGAAATGATTATTCTCAAAGGTTGTAGCCTATCAGAGGAGCAGCCATCCGCCTGCCCGAAATGATGAGAGGAGAACCCTTAAAGCCTCTTCCTCTGCTACTAAAGAGACAATTTCCTCGACATTAATCTCGTAAATCTATTACTTTAATCACAAAATCTAAAAATTAAGATCTTTGATGAACAGAGCTGACAGGAAATGTACTTACAAACACAAACAAAGGTCGTTTATACTTACCAGGCTGACCTTGGCCTGTTGTACCGACTAAAACAAAGACAGAGGTTACATTAGTAAACCAGCAAACAGCAAAGCATTTGTTTACTAACCCAGAAATAATCTCACTTTGGATAAAAAAAAAGGTTAGACAGAACACACGGAAGAATTGTTACAAATAATAACTATTTCAAAACAAAAATAAAACTGCTTTTACCACCGGAAGGCCCGACACCTGCTCCACCTGTGGAATAAATACAAAAGGCATTTCAAGTTTTGTGAAATCCTGATGGATGAATAAATGCAGGGGAAAATAATACTGTTGAGTATTCTTTTGTATATCTGAATATGAGAGAGTCATATTTACCAACACTGGTGCCAGCTGTGAAAAAAAGTATGGTCACGTTAGGATTCCTAAAGTAAGTACATTCAGAAAATAAACTGATTCAAAACAATTTAACGTATACTACTTACCACTGGGCTGAATAATTCCACCCGCAACTGTCAAAAAGTAAAAAATAAAGAACATTAAAACAGGTTTAGATATACAACAGACATTATTAGGGGAATAATATGCTGATAGTTTGACTCACTGCCTGTTTTCACAGATCCACCAGTACAAGAAGTACAAGAGAAAAAAGACAAAAATTAGATACATTTTCTTTGAAAAAAAAAAAAGAAGCAGAATTTGAGATTGTTTTTTTCTGCTTTTGGTTAATTATTAATGTGAAGTGTTTTCTCTTGAAGAATGAAACTTAAAATGAGAGAAGGGCAAAATCCCATTAAACAAACATTCAACATAATGAGAAAAAGTTGAGATGCACACATACTGAACAATAATCGACTATAAATCATATTCTGTAGTAGGATCTTTGCACTTCACATACATACATAACTATATCAGACTGCAGACTCAATCTTATTTTAAATTTTAAGCATTCATCTGTCAAAATAAACTTCTTAAGACATCTAAGCGCAATACAGATTTTACACATGAGGTTGTGACATCAAACATTATCCCATCACTTCCTTGTCTATTACAAAAGTAAATTAGATGTATTCATTTAAGAATCTGTGTATCTATGACTATTGTATGCATGAAAATGATTCATCAAGCAGAGAGAGCTGTTAGTCAAAAGGAAAGACGTTTACAAGTCAAGCAGCGCTGAGAAAGAGACAATCTGTGGCCAGAATCTGACCTCATCGGGGTTGGCTAAACCAACGTCACCAACAGCACTACATGAAGCCCGTCATTTCAGTTCAAGTCTCTTGTCATTTCAGTTGCTGCTTTTTTCTTGCTTGTTGCATGAAAAATGCAAAATTCCTCTGTTACAATAAAGTACGTGCACTTCTGGGGTAAAATGAAAAAAGTGCCTGTTTCACAATCCTAAAAGAAAAGCAGAACACCACTCAGTTAACTATCTATCTATCTATCTATCTATCTATCTATCTATCTGTCTATCTATCTATCTATCTATCTATCTATCTATCTGTCTGTCTGTCTGTCTGTCTGTCTGTCTATCTATCTATCTATCTATCTGTCTGTCTGTCTGTCTGTCTGTCTGTCTGTCTGTCTGTCTGTCTATCTATCTGTCTGTCTGTCTGTCTGTCTGTCTGTCCGTCCGTCTGTCTGTCTGTCTATCTATCTGTCTGTCTGTCTGTCTGTCTATCTATCTATCTGTCTGTCTATCTATCTGTCTGTCTATCTATCTATCTATCTATCTATCTGTCTGTCTATCTATCTATCTATCTGTCTATCTATCTATCTATCTGTCTGTCTATCTATCTATCTATCTATCTATCTATCTATCTGTCTGTCTATCTATCTGTCTGTCTATCTATCTATCTATCTATCTATCTGTCTGTCTATCTATCTATCTATCTATCTGTCTATCTATCTATGACCATATTGATTATACTAATCCTTTATATAAATAAACAAAACAGTCACTTTTGGAAAAACAACCAAACAATCACATGCATTTTATTTCAACCATGATTTGTATCCTGTAGACGACCACAGAATTGTCTTTATGCAAAGAGGTTTTATGCAATCAGCAAATCTTACTGGTCTGCGGGACCTCTGGGGCTTTGCCAGTTGCAGAAATAGATGTGGGCACTGCCAAAGACAACAGATTTCAGTTTCATCCATTGTACATTTAACAAGCTTTCAGTGGGACAGAGTCAAAAAAGGTAGAGCTGAGAGATGGTCAATTGCTGGTAGCATTAGCAATACAAAAAACATATGAGCTTCATGGGCAGGAAAATGGTGAAGAAAACATAGAGGGCAGATGATGTAGTTTTAGTTATCCTGATGTAGGCAGCAAATGCTAAACATAAATGGAAGTAGTGCTTCCCCCCTCTGCCCCCTGTTTGTTGTAAATACCTGTTGTATTATAAATGTATATATGTGTAATGGTTTGTATTTGATATGTCAGAGAAATAAACCATGTCGGTTTATTACTGTACCTGGTCTGGCAGTTGCTCCAGGACCTGCATCCTTTTCTGTAGAGCAGCATAAACATTCAGATTGCAAAACTGTATGAAGGGCCTTGTCTAAGAAAAAAGGAACAAAGCCTTACCTGGTTTAAAAGGAACACCTGTGCCACCTGGTACCAAAACAGCAGAACCATCTGGAATGCCACCGACATCTGAACCTTGAGTGGCTCCTGGTACCACAAGTCCTGCTCCAGTGACACCACCTTCCAGAGCCCACAGAAAACATGAAGTCAGCAGATTGATGCCAATGACACATTACAATATAACACGCTTTTGAAAGGTGTGTCTAATAATGAAATGTTGAACAACTATAGCTGCAATTGAACCACCACCACCTGCTCTGCTGATTTTGATAGTCTGTTTGCATTTTAGGGGTACTGACACCAGTATGCAAAGGCTTGCATTAGAGACCTATCAAATTAACTTTTTCTAATAAAACGGGGGTTCATGTGTTTATTCATAGCATTGGCTTTAGGTCTCGTAGAGAGGGCCTGGACTCTCTCCTATTTTATCGGGTTTCTCCAAAAAAGACAACATGCACCATGGAAATTAGAAGTTCTATCAAACAGTCAAGATGAAGAGGGAGCTAAACCTCTGCATGACATTCACATATACGATAGGTTATGCTGTCAGGAGCAATATAGGGGTTCACTATCTCGCCCCAATACATTTCACCATGTAGAGGAGAAGCCAGGGTCGCAACTCTTCTGAATGAGGGGGATCTACTTTACCTCTCAGCTTCAGCCGCTCAATAGATGGACATTTATCACTGACGATTTTATCAAAATATTAAAAACATATATTTTTTTTAATAACTTTTTTGTATAACTTACTAAATGATAACAGCTTTGAGGGTTCTCCTTAAATTTTTGGTGCTTGATCGCCCCGAAATCCCTTAAAAATACACTCATCATACCTCATCTGTATCTTTATTGTGACAGCTAATTTGGTCTCTTTGTACGATGCATGATTGTACATTCTTGTTTATATATAAAAGGGTCCCACAGGGTTTATATATCTGCAATTCTGTCTTTTCATGCAGATGTAAATGCCTAACCTTGAGGTCCAATTCCACCAGGTCCTCCTGCCCCTGTCCCGACTCCAGCTCCTCCTGTAACACCTCAACAAGGGAAATGAAATAGAGTTAGATGTGAGGCACATTTAAAATTTAAATCTGTCTACATAATCAGACAATGCATTTGTTTTTAGACAGGAAATTTAACTTTTTAAAAAGCAGAATAAGAAATAGTAAGTGAGAAAATAGACATGTTGTTACAGTTACAATCAGATTCCTGTTAGTTCTTATGATAACTTATATGCTGTTGTAGGTTTCTGGACATGTGATATTTGCGTGCTCATTCTTTTTACCATATTTAGCCGCTTTTGCAGCAGCAGAGTACTGTCCACCTCCGGGGCCAACACCTAGTCCTCCTGCCCCCCCTAAACCTCCAACTCCTCCAGCTCCTAACCCTACCCCAGCTCCACCAGGAAGTCCTAATTATGGGTATGGAGCAGTTTGTATTATTAGTGCTGGGACATTTAATACAGAACCTGTTATTATATAATTTATATAGCATATATATATATATATATATATATATATATATATATATATATATATATATATATAAATAACTGACGTGAATTTAGGATATATTGCATGTGCTCATTTATTATACCGTATTTGGCAGCCTTTGCAGCAGCATAATATTGTCCACCTCCTTGTCCTCCAGCAGGAAATCCTCCTGCTCCCCCTGTCCCTCCAAGTCCTCCAGTTCCTAGCCCTACTCCAGCTCCTCCTGCAACTCCTAATTATGGGAAACATAGCAGAGGTATCACTAGTTCAAAGTTAAAGAACTGTAATACAAAGAAGAACAACATTAAATGTCCCTGAATGTGTGAGATGTCACTGCTTGTGTCTTTACCATATTTTGCTGCTTTTGCAGCAGCAGAATATTGTCCACCACCACCAAGGCCTACACCAGGAAATTGTCCTGCCCCACCAAGTCCTCCAGCTCCTCCTGAAACTCCTAATGAAAGAAGAAGGAGGGACCATAACTGCTTAGTTTCTCCTGTAGAGGATTAATAAAGGATTATCTTAATGTAAAACTGTAGCCTAATAATTATACATTTGGAAGTGTCTCTGAATATTTTTCTTCATTCTTCTAGTATAAATCCTTTCTAAGTCCACAACTGGGAGGTTATTTGAAAACATCTTAAATAAAAACTATATTGACATATATAAATTATGTATGCATCTTTAAGCCTCCTGTGGACAGGTGTTGCAAATAGAGCAGTGCATCTGGGACTTGTTAAATGTTACAGCACTAATGTTACTGTATGTCCATGTAAAATAAACAAATAAATACTCTCTACTACATTTGCAACATAATGGTACATTTACCTACTTCCCAGAAACTATAAAGATGCTTCAGATGACTTTACAATTCAGCCAGAAAATTGAAAATGATATCAAAACAACTTCAATAACATATATTACTATACTTAAGGGGTTTGACACCAGCACCAGCTCCATAACCTGTCAGTGAGCAACATCATTTCTGTGACTGAGAATTTATTTGAGAAAAATAATTTAATAAAAATAAATGAAAAAAAATTGCAGATTTGTTTTTATTGAAAAAAACAACAAGAACCTCCTAGGCGTGCTCCTGGCACTCCTTTTGAGGAGGAAAAAAGAACTTCTCTGTTTTACACTATTATGAATGAAAGACAGACAGACAGTGCAGATCAGAAGCTCACCATATTTAGGAGGTTTAGCACCAGCTGCCAAAGCTGCAACACAACATACAAAGGAAAGCTTAGATTAAAAAGTGATCTAAAAAATAATACTTTTGGATTACCTCTGTAAACCACAAGTATGAAATCATGCTTACATCCATATCCTGGTAAAATTGGGACTCTTGCAGGAATTCCTCCTCCAGCATTTGGAACAAGCCCTGTACCAACTCCTTGAATTATGCATACTCAATTAAAAAGCTGCGTATTATGCAATGATTTTGATCTGAAATATAGTATTTCCTTTTAGAGATTGAATTCTTTTTACCATATTTAGCAGCTTTAGCAGCTGCAGAATATCCTCCACCTCCTAATCCTCCTGCTGCTCCCAGTCCTGTGCCCCCAGGTCCTGTTCCTCCAAACCCTCCTGTGCCTCCTAGTCTGGCTCCTCCAAATCCTCCTGCACCTCCCAGTCCCCCTGTTCCTGAAGAAGACGTGTTTATATAGGGTTTGCTGTAGAGTTTATACAGGTATTCAATTCAAGTAAAAACAAACAGTGATTTTAAGTATGTTGAGCTTCTTTCTCCTGAGCAGATCTTTAAATTGTTACATTTTGTACCAATAATGTCCCCTGCACCCATAGTGAGACTTCCCCTTTTCCTCTGCATAAGCAGATGTATTTATCATCAACTCTATATCTCATGCTTATCTCAGGCCCTTTCAGGTTTCTTTATTGGACTGACACCTGGTCGTTGGTATCGCTTCTTCATAATTTATTGTACACTGCTGGTAAAAAATAAAATAACTACGTAAACCACAAAACTAGTTCTGAGTTTATGTTAACAGTAATCATTAATTACCATATTTAGCAGCTTTGGCAGCAGCAGAGTATCCTCCTGCTCCACCCAGTCCTCCTGCGCCTCCCAGTCCTCCTGCGCCTCCCAGTCCTCCTGCTCCCCCAAGTCCTCCTGCTCCTCCCAGTCCTCCTACTCCTGCGAAACCAAAGTTTGGGCAAATTACTCCAAATAGATTGCAACCACAATCTGCAAGAAGTACACTGTATACATCCGGATACCATCAAGGTTTTTAAAGTTGAATATTGATGTATACCAAATCCCTATTCAACTTTCTCTCTAAAACTGCAGCCCACAGTTTAATTTGGATGACCTCACATGATAATCCCATAGGTTGTTCGTTAGATAGTTTAGTTGTTTAACATACTGTCAAATGATGTTTACTTTATGTCAACTGTACGCATTGGTATATACTTTGAGGATTAACCTTCATAAAGCCTGTAGCTGCACCATATGGCTTTGTGTTGGAATTCATTTAGCACTGCCAAAGGAATCTGAGAGTTATATTTTTGATCATTACAAGAAAAGCCTTTTTTCAAGAAAGTAATATTGGACATCTCAGAATATATACCATACCGTATTTAGCAGCTTTTGCAGCAGCAGAATAACCTCCTCCCTGTCCTCCGGTTCCTAATTGTCCTGGACCTCCAAATCCTCCACCTCCTAATTGTCCTCCACCTCCTAATTGTCCTCCAGCTCCAAATTGTCCTCCTGCACCTCCAAGTCCTTTAGGGCATATTAGCAAACATCATTATAGCTAATACTGTATGTTCAAAATAACAAAATATGCATATTTTAAAGGGATTTGTATTCATCATACCATATTTAGCAGCTTTTGCAGCAGAAGAATAACCTCCTCCCTGTCCTCCACCTCCTAATTGTCCTGCACCTCCAAATCCGCCACCTCCCAATTGTCCTCCACCTCCCAATTGTCCTCCTGCACCTCCAAGTCCTCCACCTCCCAATTGTCCTCCTGCGCCTCCAAGTCCTTTCGGGCATATTGGCAAACATCATTATAGCTAATAGAGCAAGTCTTTTGTGAAGACCTAATGCTGGACTTTAGACATCACAATGAAACAAATGTTGGATCATAATATGCATATTTTAAAGGGATTTGTATTCATCATACCGTATTTAGCAGCTTTTGCAGCAGAAGGATAACCTCCTCCCTGTCCTCCAGTTCCTAATTGTCCTCCAGCTCCAAATTGTCCTCCTGCACCTCCAAGTCCACCAGCTCCAAATTGTCCTCCTGCACCTCCAAGTCCACCAGCTCCAAATTGTCCTCCTGCACCTCCCTGTCCTCCAGCTCCCAACTGTCCTCCTGTGCCTCCCCACCCTTTAGGGCATATTGTCAAGGGACGGCGAGACATGCATCATTAAGATCAGAAGTTCAAAAAAATGCATATTGTTAAAGGATTATTATATCATACCATATTTAGCAGCTTTGGCTGCTGGTGAATATCCACCAACAAATGGTAATCCTGGAATTCCTCCAGGTATACCTCCTGGAATTCCTCCAGGTATACCTCCTGGAACTCCTCCAGGTACACCTCCTGGAAATCCTCCAGGTACTCCTCCTGGTACACCTCCAGGTACTCCTCCTGGTACACCTCCTATCAGTTGGAAAACCAGGCGAAAAAACGGGTAAATGAAAACACAGTTCTGATTATCTTGATTTAATATCAAGTACCCAAGACATTTTACAGCATACAAAAGGTAAAAGATGGATCAGATAATGTGAAAAAAGTTGTGGGATGGTAGAATTTAAAAAAAATGCTTTAGTAACACACAAAAACCAGAAGTTCTCACCATATTTAGCTGCTTTGGATCCAGCTCCATATCCTGCTGTAAAGAATTAAATAAAAGGAATCAAATGTTATTTTTTACATCTAACACAAAAACAAACCAGAGGTAACGGTAACAGAAAAAAAACTTTTCTCAGAGCGAATGCCAATGCCTAAGTTTAAGAGTTAAGTGTTGAGTAATAGTACTAATCTATTGATGAGTGAAAGCTCACAACATAAGCAAGTTATTTAGTCATGTTTGATCATAGATTGGACCTATGATAAGCTTCTTTTTTTTTCTGACTTCCCAACAAATGTTTTCTTTGCAGTAGAATGAGCTGCTAGCAAGGCTTTTATTAGTTAGTTTGATCTTTTGATAGATCTTATACCTCCTGGCACCTGCCCTGGATACAGACCACCAGCCCCGCCAACACCTCCAACACCACCAACACCACCAACACCACCAACACCTCCAACACCTCCAACACCTCCAACACCTGGAACAGAGAGCACAGACTTAAAGGTACACATACTATATATTCTGCGCAAATGTTACACAACATGTCTCATGCTTATCTTAAATGGAAATCATTTTCTTACCATATTTGGCAGCTTTAGCCTGAGCAGGTGAGATGCCTCCAGGACCCACTCCTGAAAAAAGAATATATACATCAGGCACGTTTTTCTACCTTCCTACCCGTCAAACTCCATATCAATTAATAATGCATTTCTAATAACACATACCAGTTCCAACTGGATAACCAGGCCTTGACCCAGCGCCACCTTGTCCTCCTGGAAGTCCAGTGCCACCAGTACCAAAGCCACCATAACCTGAAACATTGTGATGGGAGTCATCATTAACACCTTGGTTTACACCGAGAACACCCTTACTAAAAATATTTTAAGAGCTGAAAATTTGTACCAAATGGAAGTTTGCCGCCTCCAGGTTTTGAACCATATGCACCTAAAGAGAAAAAAAATATTAAAAAGAGGATAAATGGGGCACCTGATAGCCTTGCGGTTATGTTGCACGCTCCATGTAGCGTAGCTACAATCTTTGAAGCAAGTGGCCCCCGATTCCACTCCAGATTTAATTCCCACTCTCTCATCCCTGTTTGCTCCTCTATCCACTGTCCAACCGCACCAAAAAAGAAGGTGAATCATTCTGCATTGGGGACTTGTATCAGCATGGAATATTATTATTGTTTCAGGTACTTAGATGTGAATTCAGCCTTTGACACTATCAATTTCTGAAGTCCTTACAGTTCAGATATCTACTAATCTCCATGAAATCAACATGGAAACCGACCTATAGGTATCATTTAGAGAGGCAGAATGGGAAAGAATTCTTAGGAATGAAAGAAAAAGTCAAGAGAACCTCGTACAAGATTGACCCATTTTAAAATCATAAATAGGGGCTAATGGACGCCACCCAGGCTACATAGAGTAGGTCTAATTGACAGCCTGGGATGAGGGTGGTGTCTTGACAAAGATGGTACTTGTGTACATACTGTATGCTTTAAGTTACCCATCTCCACTACTTGCAGACTGGACCCAGACTGTCCTTATATTAGGGAGGACATTTATTGTAAAAGAAATGGAAAGCTTCCTCTGCACCAGCACCATCCTCGTGGCAAACTTCTGTTGGCCAGCTGGTCGCCCTAGAACGATTGTCATAGGCTGCTGGATAAGGAGGAGTATGACTTGAAATGGGGGTAATACCACTTGTTTATAATGTCTGCTTGATGATGTTTCCAGCTCAGGAAAGAAATAAGCACTTAACTACCACATAAAAATGCGGATTACTGTGGGATTTACTGCTGTGGATGCTAATAAGAAATTCTGTCAACTTTAAAGCTGCTTGTGCGTCACTGTCAAGTCTTTATTTTATTTTCAAGTTTTAGTGTCTTTTTCTGTTGCTTTGAGGTCATAGATGTTTTATTATTGGTTTTACATTATTGTTGGTGTCAACTTGATATTGTTATTACTGTTAGAAAAACCTGAGTTTGTTTCATTAATTGTGGAAAAAAAACCCCGAATAAACTAAAAAACATCATTTTTACCACTATTAAAATAAAACATCAAGATTAACAAGCTATGTTTGAGTGGTATATCTCATGAACAAAAAAACTATAGCGCAACCATATCCGTGATATACAGCAGGGATTTTAGACAACAATCATATAATTTAAAGGAGATTTTCTTTTTAAATTCTCATACAAGACACACCGATGAACTGGTAAGCTCGCGAGTTAACTTTAGTGTAAAAAAATGTAACTGTAAACTGGAGGAAAAAGATCTGTATCATTGGCAAAGTCCAAATTGTGATGTTAACATCATATGAACAACAGAAAATAACTTGTGAATTACACAGCGACTGTAGAAATTCAGGTCAAACCTTGAACTTTGGGTGATTTGAGTGGGTATCCATGGAACACTCCTGGCTGCATGGGTCCACCATAACCCCGGCCTCCTTGCAAGGACGACAATTAAATTAAATCATCCTTTACTAGAAAATACAGATAAATGTTTCTAACTCCAAAACAAAATAGGAGGAAAGTTACCTGGTCCTTGATTTCCTTGTCCTCCCACTCCAACTGCAGAAGAAAAAAAGCATATAATCCAATCAGTCACACAGATGATGGAGAGTATACTGAGTGTAAGTAATGGACAGAGAAAAGATCTTGTACTATACAGTATATGTCCAGCTGTACTCATAACATCAAGTGCATTCAAACCAACAACATTGTAGATTTAACATTTTCTCTGAAAATAATTATTCAATATTTATGAAATCTATTTTTTTAACGTACATGTTTCATTAAAAATTGTTTCTTTGTTTTGTCTGCATACCAGTTGGGTTTTTATTGTTATATGGTAAATGGACTTGAGCTTGTATAGCAATTTTTATCTGTCTTTATCTGTGCTTTTTACATTGCAGCTCACATTCACCCAATCACACTACATACAGTGTCCCTCAGTATCAACCAATTCCATTCATACACATACACAGCAGGAGCATTTTGGGGTTCAGTGTCTTGCCCAATGACACTTCAACATGTGCAGCAGGAGCTGGGATCGAATTCTGACCTTGCGGTTGACAACCCTACGACTGAGCCAAAGCTGCCCCACAATAAAAATAATAAAAAGTTCAAAACCAAAACCATCCAAGGAAATTAACAGCCTACACTTCGTTTAGTTTTCGTCATAAAAACTAAACCTTACTTGATTTGGGATTCAGGTCACTGCCCGTGGCCACTCCAGGCAGAACTCCACGTCCACCAAATCCTGAAGGAGCCAACAGCACCCAAAAAACAAGTTGAATGAAGTCCACTAACAAACCTACAAACACTACTCATAAAATTATGGAAAAGACAGACCTTGTCCTGGAACAAGTCCGCCTTGATAAAGTCCAGGCACACCCACACCTGCCACACAAAGTGAGAGATTACTGCATATGGTTGACAATGACAGAATTATATGCCTGTAAATGATCAAAACCAAATATGACCACATAAAGAGCAAGCGAGGAGGCAGTGAAGCCAGGCTGAGGCTGCTCTCATGTTACAAATTTAGCTACCTGCTAGTGATTTAAAGCAATCCCTTTTATGATTTCCATCACGCTTAGATGAGATAGTGGTGTATTATGTCACACAACATATATCACATAATATCACATAAACACATACCTTAGTGATAGTAATGCAACTCATATTTTATTTTTCTAAATTGTGTACCCCAGGTTTGTTCCATTCCTCTCTGTAAATCAAAATGAACTAACTGCTGAAAAAATATCAAAAGGGTACGGTTTACTTTAGTTGCAGTAATGTAAGCAAGATTTGTTTGTAAATCTGAGAGCACAGATCTCAGCGAAAGATGATTTAAACATGAGGTTTATAATCTCACATGAAGAGGGCCAACACCAAAATCTCAGGCTCAAAGTTTGTTAAACATCATGATTTTTCCTTAATAAGCAAAGTATTTCAAAAGATTTCCAGTTACACTGAGCCAATGCCACATGCAATGGAAATGAATTTGATGCAACTCTGCTGCCCCATGAACTGAAGCCAGTCTGTGTTCCGCCTTATGAGTTTATTGTTGAGTCTACAAAACCTGGCACTTTGGCAGCTTTCTTCCCAGCTCCACCAGCAGCCCCTCCTGGAAGGCCAGTCTGAGGAATAACAGGTGCTGAAAAAAGAAAAGGTTGCTTGACTCATCAGACAAATATACAGCGTGAAAACATATGCATATCATTCTGTCTTAACAACGAGTCCAAAAAACTGTGATTCCTTCCTCCTGAGGAGCATTCACAACACTTTTAACAATATGTGCAATAGAGCTATGTGCAATAACACCACCACTTTAGAGTGACAGGCTCCAGGGCAAATGGGCAATTACAGCAGTACTTGGAAAACTTTTTATGCTTGTATGGGTCTCTGTCAAATAATGTAAAGTTTATATTGTTATTTGTTTTTGTCTAACGTTGTGGTTTTATGTAAATTTGTATACTTCTGTAACACCAACTTGCACCAACTACAGATGGAAATTAGCCTAAGGCTACAATCTGGCATATTTATTGTGCACTGTCCCTATTTTGAATAAATACAGAGCTTTTTAAAAAGCTCTTGAACGTTTTAACGTGCGTCTTGCCTCCAACAGGCACTGCAGCACCAGTTCCTGTACCTCCAGGAACTCCTCCAGTCCCAATCCCAATTCCTCCAGTTCCTAGTTGTGATCACAGAAAAACACAATATAAAATATACAATTTCACATTAGATTTTATGACCAATTAACTTCACCTTTAGTTACTTTTGCGCCACTAGTGCATTTGTTAAAATCAGAGTAATGAAAGCCTTGTGACACAAATATTCATAGTTGTGTATGCCATGACCACTAGAGGGCGTTGTGATACTGATAAGGAGTAATGAGTACATGTGTGGCTGACTTGACCTCTTCTGCAGGGAGCTAGATCTTCATAGTGCCCATTGGTACTGAGAGCAACTAATCTGTCGCTAACAATCTCGTCATCACTCCGTGATAAAACCAGTAATATGGCTGACTTTTAATCTAATCAGGAGAGGCAGTCAGCATGCACAGCATTTGCCTTGCCTCATCCAATGCCTCACTTCTTTGGCTGTCCCATCGTGCAGGAAATGAGCTGTCAGGTTCACTTGTTAAAGGAGCTTGGCAGCAGTATAAAACACACTGGTTTATTTGTTTAAACTCTACATACTTTAATCTTAAATTCCCCACACTTTTAGCGTACAGACATTGCGCACTACCAGTAGGTATGCGGCCTGAGAGATTTGGTGAGGAAAAGTTTGGCAAGAATATTTAGTTTCATCTGTGCTCTTATAAAGGAAGTAATTATTTTTCTGAGTGTCATAAAAAGAATACAGGCAGATTCTAGGGACAGCTGGTTTGTCATTGCCAACCAATTCTTAATAGTCGGCTGTTTGCCTTTGTAAAGTCCTGAGCCAATCCTTAGCCAGGCTAATTTAAAGAAAATCATATGCGCACACAGAACAGACTTTCAGGTCATGCAGGCCTCTGCTGACGTACAAACTGTCCACAGTGTAGAAACAATGAAAAAATGTACACGTGTTTGCCAAAAAGTGTTTTTCATTCAGTTACCATAATATTAAACAGGCTATCTGAAACAGGCAAGCATGCAAATCTATCATAGTTCTATGAAGCTTTGTGTCAGCATTCTGCACTGCTCAATTATTTACAGTAGTCTGCCATTCGGCCAAGAATCAGCTCACCTCCATGTGGTAGCAGAGAGCCTCCTGCACCTGGGATTAAGACAAGACACGCAAGATAATTAATTGCAGACATAAAATACAACCACCTCGAAACAAGCTTGAGGAACATGATGATATTCAGTTTTTATGTCCAATGACCCCTCCCCTTCTATCAAAATCACCGTACCAGTTTTCACTGTTTATAACACGACAGAGTGCTCTGCTGAATGTGATGCCTTCACTTGTCCTTTGTCTAATGGTTGCATCCATGGACAAATAAAGTTAACAGGATTTACACCTAGTTGAGGAACACACCATTGCTGCATACTTAATGACAATAAAAGAAACATAAAGTCACTCAGCATCTCGCATGAGAGCTTCAGGCTCCCATAGTTTGCCCATTTGACTAATAGTTAGATTCATGACAGCAATGTCCCGATGCCGTCCCTTCTGTAGGGAGAAACATGTCTAAGTATCTTCTACCATCGGATGTACCTCTTTTAGCAGCCTTCTGTCCCAAGCCCCCTGGGAAGAAGCCCCCTGTGCCTCCACCTCCATATCCTCCATAACCACCTGAATGACACAAAGGGGCACAGTTACGTTAATGTGTTGGCTTATTATGTTATAACAACATTACACACTTCACCACATTCAGTTTAAAACCTTATGTGAACTTTTCTACTTCAATATATTATGCATTCCAGGCTACATGTACCCACCTCCTCCGTGTCCTCCATGTCCTCCATGTCCTCCAGCTCCAAGGCCACCACCTCCAAGACCACCAACACCTAGATTGCCATAACCTAGATTGGAAATAAAATAAAAAACAGACAATGGCCCAATGAGAAACAAAAAACTTTATTATGTGTTAGGTAAAAACTGAATGGAGCCAAAGGGAGTTCAAAAAAAGTAAAAAAGTAAGTATTTTTTTAAAGTCTACCCTTTAATGAAAAGGAACATAATACTCAGTATTTCAAAATATTTTCAGTGACCGATAAGTACGAAAGTAAAATAGTTGAGCCTCCATTGAATGCAAAACCATTATTCTTAGTAAAATTTCATGAGGTATTTAATTATAAGAAGTGACCAACAGAAACCTTACTTAAAGAGTAACTAACCTATATTCCCATAAAACCAAAAATGGTATTTTTTTGCATCACTGTAAGTTTGCAAAACATTGTAACCCTTGAATTTGGGAGACATTCCAATTCACTTAACACACAATATCATGCAATTGTAATACTCTGAGATAAATACAAATTTTAGGTGAAGGCGGGATATTGTTCAATTCTTGATTCAATATGTTGAACATACAGTAAGTGTCTGCTGATAGCTGCTTCAGTGATTGAATCCTAATTTTTGGGCTAAGTCGATGTTATAGAGCAAGTCTGGCAAATGATTCTCATGAGTTTTATTTCTCAGACTTGTATTTAACGACAGAATGAGCTCAGAAAGCTCCCCAGTCAGACACAAACATGCAGGACTGTTTTTGGTACAAGAAGAAAGCTGAATCCTGCCAACAAGCTAGTCCGCTGAGGAACTTGTTTCATCAATACGTATAAGCCGTAAAGTCTGGGGTGAGAGCAACTAAGCATGGGAAACAGGCTGAACGAGAGGGGGAAATAGAGAGATGGATCAGAGCGGGGATAAGAGCTTGGAGTCCAACAATCTGCAGGGTGCAGGTAATGATACTGACGAAGAGGAGGAGGAATGTGCTGGGAGATACTGAGAGAAATATGGAGTGTGGAGTTTCATGATCTAGTCAAAACAAATGTGGGCACTGGCCTTGCCAAGAAGTTGGCAAACAGATTGAGCATGCAATGCGAGCTCAGACGCTAAGCTAAGCACCGTTGTGATAATCCATCTTCTTCAAAGCTTTCAGCTGGATTGCTCAACCATCCCCAGGCACACCTCGAAGTAATAACAACCGTAATCAATTCTTATATAAATCAGGGTGAACTGGGGTTTTCCCCTTTTCCCATGTCACTTGCGCTGACACTCCTCATTTGTCTCTTTTATATGTTGAGGACTAGACAGTAATATAAGATAGTTAATAGACATTTGGAACTTGTTGATTCTTAAAACCCTTAAGATTTCTAAGTCTGGCGTGAAATGTTCCTTCATGACTTTACAGTCTGGCCTAGTCTAATGATTACAAAATATCTAAAGACTGAGCCTTAAGTCTGAGGTGTATGTATGTGTGTTAGTGTGAGTGTTGAAAGCATACAGCAGAGATAAGGTCCCTGGAAAAGATACATGAAGAGACAGTAAAGACAGGGTGGACTGTGGAGACATCACACGTGCATGACCTAGCCTTGCTTTTGACAGTGGTGCTCAGGGCCGACCGGCACCTGCCACTTTGAGTTTAAGTCTCTGAATGGAAATCAGGAGGAATGATGCAGCTATGCAGAAGCCAGAGAGGTTGTGTGGCTTTGTTTAAGACCACGAGTGCAAGCCTCGGGCAGACACAAAGTTAAAACAAAGTAGAAAAGAATTGTAACTACCATATGTAGTTCTGACAAGACCCTGGGAATATTATGAGTTCTCAAGTATTAGTTTGTACCCCCGAGGATGTGTGTTCAGGGCCCAGTTGAGAGGACACGTTAACTAAATCTGGATTGTTCTCTGTTTGGCATCGAACCCCTGATTGTATATGTTTTTAGATGGAGGGTAAAGTTTTTAGAACAAAAGCTCTCTGTTTAGCTATATATTTACTCTATGTTGTCAGCTCAAACAAGCAAGCTTTTGTTGGAATACTATTGTTACAAGATGTTAGCTCACACAAATGGACCTGTCTTAACTCACACATTATTGGAAGTCTACACCAATGTTGTTTGTTGTCATGAACCACAAACAAAGAAAGCCTGCACCGTGACTCTGATATCATATCACTGCTTTTTTTGGGTGCTGTTCCCGGTATTTAGCTGATTGCTGACAAGCTGAGGGATTTCTGCTCACTAATGTGGTGGCTCATTTTCTCACCGACCCTCAAGGCATAATGGGAAGCCTGAGAGACCACTTGAAACCAACTGCCTCTGGACCTTGGACAAATCAACCCCGCAAGAGGTCAATGCGCTGAGTAGCAGATGGAAGAGACAGAAACCCAATACTACACAGGAGGGAGGACTGGAGGCCAAAGAAACTGGAAGGTAAGTGATGCAGGCCTGCAATGTATCACCGTTTCCTCCATTAAGATTTCTAAAAAAAAAAAAAAGTGAGAGAAACATGGTTTACTAGCCAGTTTCCATTCAGAAAAGACCTCTGGCTTCACAGCTGTGCAGTTACAAGTGCACCCAGCAGGTTGCCGAGATGAAATTTGTGATGATGTGACATGGCATGAATAAGGATTGCAATTTCAAGAAAGTGCACAAGTACAGGTTTAGGCTTTCTTAGACAAAGAGGGAGTCCTTTTTTCACCGGGATGGAAATCCAGTGACGGGAAGGCATGTGCATTGCCTCCTGCTGTACCCTGTCATGGCAAATCATTGTATTCCAACTGGAGACTGATACTGAAATAAAATTGGCCAGACAGCATGGCTAAGTTTGTTCAGTCACCAGTCATGTTCTCGAACTTGGGTCAAGTTCAAGTGATGGATAAGAGCCAGAAAGAACAGAAATATCTGTTTTCGATCTCAAAACTGGGGTTAGGTAAGGTAATCCTGTTTCAGGACCAGAGGAAGACAAGGGACATTAATCAAAACAGTGTCTTCTGATCACAGTCTCCTACTTTTTTTCTCCCTGTTACTGCATCATTTTCTTTTTCCTCTCCAGAAGTCGTCTAGGAGGTTGAGCTGACCAGACACAAGGTGTTAATAGGAGCAACCAGAGGAAGCCAAACGTGAGAAGTGAAAGATGGATTTTCTCGCTCCTTTCCATCTCCTTTTTCCTCCTCCACTCCTCTTCTCCTTACTTTGTGATCCAGCTGGGCCTGTTGAGGTTTAATTTAAGAGAGCAAAGAATTCCATGGCAGAGATCCACTGCAACTGTCGGCAGACGCACACAGAGGAGATTTTGGAGCTGCAGCTCAGGAATGTCCAGGAATGTCTTGGGACTTGTTTCTCACTGTTTTTTTTGTTTTAGGTCATTTTAATCAAGCAAGTAATCTAAGAACAAATGTTTGTTTATTGGAAAGCAAGGGGGTAGATGACAACTCATATTTCTCTTTAAGACGCCTGGAAACTTGGTCAATGAGCAAAAATGTGGAGCGGTACTATTACACAAAATCAAAGAAGAAATACAGACACACAGTAAAGCTTAGTTAAGAAGTAAAGAGGCGTGCTGTGGCAGAGCAAATGTAATTTTCTGAAATGTCATGGAAAATCTTCATGATAACTTCATCTTCAAAAGCTCTCTAGAGGTCCTCAGAGAATCTGCATGGGTCTTCTTGATTGACAGGTTCAGTCTATTCTTCGGCTGTGGTCCCATAAAAAATTCCACTTTGAAAGCAAAGCCCATAATTATGTCCTTCACAGTCATGACACCACATTTTATCAGTATCAAATTATCACACCATTCCACCTCCAAGTTAGTGGATAGATCGCATTCTTCTCAAGTGACGCAGGACAAGCTGGATGAAAGCTAATGATGCGGGGTTCTGTAGTGATTCCACATCGCGTGAGACAAGTGGACACACTGAAGCTCCCCTCTCCCCCTCCCTCTCCTTTGCCCCATACCCCCACCCCCACCATTCCCTGTGACTTCCAGGTTCTCTTTGCTGTCAGTCTGGGGCACTAAACTCAGGACAATTCACATGTTGGACAAATTAAGTATTCACACAGTCACACCACTACACAGAAATGTTATCCCTCTGGCTGGTGTGAACCAGCCAACTTTGGCGTCAAGCCTTTTATTGTTTTCTCTTTCCTTTTCCATGGAGTCATTGACACTATCAATGAGAGGACCCAAAGCCTCAGTCTCGCTCTCTGCCAGATGACCCTGAGCACACTCCTGCTAGAGGTCCTACAGACAGAAAGGGAAAGGTTCTAGGGTTGTCTTTTTCACCATAATCGCTGCTTTTTGAGCCGCATGCAGGTGAAAATCTGTGTAATAAAACTAGACTTTCAAACTGCTGCGTGAGTGCAGTCGGACACTATTGGTATGGGTGGTAATCTTTTTGTTTTATAGGGGATGTTTGCATCATACTAAAGAGAGAATGTGTGCTGTTTCATGTGTGGTCAGCATCTACACTGATGAAGCAACTTTGGCAAACTCTCCCAAAACTACGCACTTGGGCAGCAGAACACACACACCATGAGGCGTTGAGCAATTCTTACAAATGGTTCCAAACTAACTGTAACTCTTCAAGCCACCAATACATGTCGTGTGGATTACAGGCACTGCCACTGTGCCAAACTGGGCTGCTTTGCCAAATGACGTCTGTGGCTGTCTGACCTCACCAACCTGAACCCTTTTGGGTCTCTCACCTCCACACACACACGCACGCATGCACGCACGCACGCACGCACGCACGCACGCACGCACACACACACTTAACTTCAAACACATCTGTGCAAAGAGTTGTCCCTCATTTCAAACTGTGCTAATTGGTACATCATGCCTCACACCATATCCAACAAGATTTTGATGTCATTGTTTATTCTGCTAAGTCATACGAAGCAGAACATGCTATGCTATGAGCTTACAAGTCAACCAAACAGTTCTGCCTTTTTCCAGTTTCTGTAAGAGTTGAGAGCCTCTGTTATTTTGCTTTTCATCTGCTTCTACAGGAATCTCATCGCCGCTCTGCCAACACTGAGCCCCTCAATATGTTCAAAGAGTAGCCCTAACCCAGAGCTCATACCAT